TATTTTTAATTTTTTAAAGAATAATAAATCAGACTAATCATGCAATGATATAAATTATTTTATTAATAATTAATTTATAATCAAGTATTTATATACCGTTAAATCCTGTCAAAATTTATATTATTTATCTCTTTATCTCTGTTTAATTAAATGATACACTCAATAAACTAAGTTAGTTGTTCTTATAGTAAATATAATAAAAAATTGACTGATCCCAGAACGTGAAAAAAACATATAGAAATAGAATAATAGATGGAGACCTAATACGGAAAATTATTAAAATTAACAAAAGTAATATTGAAAAGAGTCCGACAGGATAATAATGACAAAAAGACATCAAAATTGAACTCTTCAGAGGCCTCAAATTCAACTAATTCGCCAGATTCAGCTGATTCATCTAGTTTTTCAGAAGACATAAGTTTGAAACAAGGACTGATTTCTGTTTAAACTAAATGAAGAAAAAATAAAAAATTCAAAGAATTGGAATTGGAAGCTGATGATAAACCTTATTTAGATTTTATATTATCTGACAAAAAATCTGTATTAAATGATAAAAGTGAAGATTCTGAAAATTCTGATGATAATGAAGGAGATTTTTTCCAAAACAAACGATTTACAGCTCCTGATTGGGATGATTTTGATGACAATAATAATTTTACATATCTTAATCCAAGTACTGAGTTTTCTGAAACTTAGATATTATTATAAATATATAAATTTCAATCGAGATTTTATCTATCTGATATCGCTATAAATTTCTTGATTGCATTTTTCGGTCAAGTGTTAAAAGATGTTAATCCAAGGCAATTTCATAAATTCCCATCTTCATCTTACAATGCAAAGAAATTGTTACAAATTGAAAAGATTACAAAATCATATGCCATATGTCCAAAATGTAACAAATTACATAATTGTGCAGAAATTTCAGAAGATAATAAATGTAAATTCGTCGAGTTTTATAATCATCTAATAAAGAAATATCAGGCAGAATGTGAAACAGCACTACTAAAAAATATTTCAATAACTAATGGTTACATAAAATGCCCCTGTATGGTATTTCCTATACCAGATTTGAAATCTCGGATTTTTGCGATGTATCAGCATCTTGACTTTGAACATAATATGATAAAGCAGATATATCAGTATATTGATGAAAATATACTGGCTGATATTTATGATGGAGAGATGTGAAAGACATTTCCATCATCAGTTGAACCAGAAAGTGGTCTGTTTTTTGCACCTGAGTTTACAGATTCACATCTTGGAATAATTATTAATATTGATTAGTTCCAGCTATTCGATTCTTTGATATATAGTACTAGAGCGATATATGGCATTATCTGCAACCTCCCTCATGAAATACGTTTTTAACAAGAAAATATGTTAATATTGGATTTGTTGTCAGGACCTAACGAAGTTCAGACCTATAAAATAAATCATTACCTATCACCAATTGTTGATAAATTACTTGAATTCTAGACAGGTATTGAATTACAAAAAACAGCAAGTTATCTGAGTGGCAGAACAATTTGAATAGCAGTTATTTGCTGTAATAGTGATATTCTGACAGCAAAAAAATTATGCGAACATATATCAGAGTTGGCTGCTTATCATCGATGTCATAATGTGGCCAGTAGTCATGATGAAGAAGAAAGATTTAATTTCAGTGGCTTTGACAATATGAACGATTGGTTTAGACAGAGGGATTTAGAAGCATTCTAACAAAATGCTTTTGCTTAGCGTAAGTGTCAAATACAAAAAGAAAGGAAGAAACATATCTCTAATACATTTGTCAGATGGACAGAACTACTTAGATTACCTTATTTCAATCCAATTCAGTATTGTGTTATTAATCCTATGCATAACCTGTTCTTGGAAATCGCCAATTGGATTATAAAAAAGTTGTGGATCAATGGTGGAAAAATATCCAATGATGATCTTGAATTAATGGAAAAACGTTTTAAAGCAATTAAAATTCTAGCTGATTTAGGACAGATTCCTAATAAAATTGCTACAGGTGAAGGCTTTTCTGGATTCACTGCTGATCAATGGAAATCATTCATCTTAGTATATATAATACTATTAATGTGGAATTTGTTATCTATTTCAGATCAATAAATTTTAGCAAATTTTGTCAGGGCTTGTACTTTATTAATTTATAGAGTTATTGATAATAGTATGCTAAATGAAGCCCATGCATATTTACTTAAAGTTGGTCAGCTTATAGAGAAACAT